CGACAGGAAACAGCAGTAGCCATACCAGCAGTAGTAGCGGCGTACAGAAGCTGGTTTTGGCACCGCTGCGCTCAACGCAGGTCCAAGCTACAGCCGATCCGCCTGGGCCTATCCGAAACCCAGCAGTAGCGGGGCCGAGCCGCGCCACCGCCGCCGCCGCCGTCACCGTCGGATCCGTCGGATCTGTGGGGGCAAGTAAGGGAAGCGCTTTAGCTGGCGGAAACGCCGCCGCGGCTGTAGCATCTGCAGGCGGCGCCGCCGGGACCTTACAGGACACGCCTTGTGACGCAGTTGCTGTAGCAGACGGTGGCGGCGTCAGGGTCGCTGTGGCAGGTCGCCGCGCCGCCGCTGACGCTGGCGGCAATGGCGGCGGCAGCGGTGGTGGTAGTACGGCTTTCGCGACGACGGCGACGGCGCCCTTGGCGCTGCCGCAGGCTACTGCAGCGCCGTCGCAGATGGCTGTAGCAGCACCCAACCCGTCGTCGCTGTCGACTTCAATGCTACAGCCACGCCATTGGCCAACAGTACAGTACCAACAGCCGCAACTGCAGCTACAACCGCTGCCGCCGCTAACAGCAACAAAAGGGGTCGTGGAGGAGGCGGAAGAGACGGAGAATGCGATGCAGGTTGAGGAGGTGCAGCAGCAGCCACCGCCGTCGGAGTCCCAGTCGGACCTTGTGCCTGCGGAGGCAGGCCAACATCTCCATTGGGGCCATATGCCATGCGATGAGCTGGCAATGGCGGTGGATTCGCCGTCACCGCTGGAGACGGCAGGCGAATGTACGGCAACGGAATCGGCGGAGCGCTTGCAGCAACAGCAGCAGGCGGGCATGTCGCCACTGCCGCCGCCGCCGCCGCCAGGGGAAGTGTTGCAGCAACCACCACCGCCGGCGGCGGCGGGAATGTCGCCGCCAACACCGCTGTCGGAACTGTCGCCGCCACCGCCGCCAACTGCGGATGCTGCACCCCCACCCCTACCCCCACCAGACGCGGCGGACGCGTCATCATTGCTCCTGTCTTTCGCGTTGCTTCCACTGTCGCAGCCGGCGGACACCTCACCACTACCACTGCTGTCGTCACAGGCCGCCTTGTCTCTACCAGCAGACGTGCCGTCGGCGCCGCCGCCGCCGCCGTCGCTGTCGGAGGTCCCAGTGGGAGATCCCAGCCCGGCGTTACGACAACCGCCGTTGGCAGGAACGGCAATGTCGGCCTTGCCGCCAGCAGTACGGCAGCCGCTGCCTTCGGAACCCGGAGGCGCCCGCCAGGGTCCGCTGGCGTCGACGGATGAATCCCTGCTGCCGCTGCTACGGGACCCAGGATTGGCACGTACGGCACATGTACGGCACTTCCTGACGGCGGCAACGGAGGTAAGCCCGGCCTCCCCAGACTCCCTGATGCTGACGCCGCGGGGTGGCGGAAGCTGCTGCTCGACGGAACAGCTGCCGTGGGCTGTAACTGAAATGGCGGAAGCGGACGCGCGCTGCTCTTGATGGTGCGTGAGGCCAAGGAGG